AATGGGGTTAAAAATAGCTACTGCACTTATCTCATTGTCTTTTGAGACTCAAATGAGATACAGAATGGAAAGTACTTCATGTACCTTAAAACCTAGTAGACACATCAGCTGTTATTAGACAATAACGATAATGGGCCTTGGAAACTGAGGCTCCGAAGAGTTGAATGACTATTCTGACATCAGGCAGTTGGGGCAGAGCAATCTAGGAATCCAGGATTTCTGATCTCTAAGCTTTGGGGCACTGATCATTCAAGTACAGTGTTCTAAGCCTTAGCATGGGTTGGAGCAGGTCATAGGACCATACAGAGGGCTTAAACCAACCTGGGACAGGGAAAAAGAGAGGGAAGAAGGTGATGTGATTGGGGCATGTCTAAATTCCCTTCATTTCAGTGATAGTGGGGATGCTGCAGAAAGGGAGAGGTGGAAACCACTTGAGAATAACTCAAGAACAGCCAGTGTTGGAAAATAAATGTTTACCATTGCTGATAAAGTTGCTATGCATGTAGGCAATCTGGATTAGATATTAACTCACATTTTTATAGTACTATAAAGTTTGCAAAGTACTTAATATGTGTATTCTTTTTATCCCCCAGTACTTTTGCCTAGGACTAAGTTACTTGAGTAAGAGTAGGGGTCATTTTCATTTATGTGGATTGTCTGTACTAAAGGTGCTGGGGGTATTCGTTGCTTCAGTTATTCAACAAACATTTATTTGCCAATTGACTTCTGCTTTTACAACACCGACCTATGCCTTCCTCAAAGAGGCTTCCCCATTCATGAAACCCCTTGATTGAGAAAGAGAAGGAGGCACTTGTTCCAAATGAAATTAATGAAAAGTCCCTGCTACTGTTGTAGCATTAATTCCAGAGGGAGAAAGTTGTTTTCAGTGTATTGGTGACGTTCCATGTGTGAGTTATTGGCCTTAGGTGCACCTTGTATGGGGAGGGTACATACTAGATAGATGGGGAATAGGGTGGGACTTCATGGGGTCAGAGTTCAAAGTCTGATAATCTCTCCTCTCCACTTTCCCATTCCCCTCGCAGCATTCTTCCTCCTCCTCCTCTTCCAGCAGTGACTCTGACTGAATCCTGGGCCCTCCTCCCCCCAAGTCACACCACCCCAGCTCTCCCATCAAGCCTTGGACGCCATATTGTGCTGGGGGAAGATAGCCTTGCAGCCCCAACCTCATTCACCCCTTTGCCCAAATTGGTTGGTGAAGGTGAGGAAAGGATCCCTATTGGCCTGAGGAAGTCCATTTTCTTACCTACTAGATTGAATCACTGGGGGGGCACTCCTTTCTGAAGATGTATGTCCTTTGAGCCAAATGCTGAAGAACATTTTAGGATCTGGAAAAATGTGATTTTAAAAAATTTATTTTGTAATTTGTGTGGGAGAAGGGGAAGAAGGGGGGTGTGGCATTACCATGGAAGTTGGTCTGGGTTTGGTAATCTTATGATAATGGCATGTGGGAACTACATTTCCCAGCAGACTCTGCTTTCTACTCAGCCCATTGCTTTCTGGGAAAGAGAGTTCTTTTGAATAGGATAATGTAGGTGCCATTTTGGAACCTCATTTCTTGATGAGCTCTTTTCATCCCAGTCATTCTTGGGTCTTCCTCTGTTTCTTTTACTGTGCTTCCCAATAAAGCTGTTTATTCCAGTCTCCATTCATCTGTGCCAATATCTTGGGCTGTTTCCAGCAAGTTCTATTGCTTTTGTTGCCCCTTTCTACAACCCTTTCTTAAAGGAGTAATAACCTAGCCTATGGACCAGAGCATGAGCGAGGAGGGTACCTCATTGTCACCATGTTTGTTTCCTGAATGTGAAATCATGAAGTACCTTCCCCCTCCAGGACTGATGCAGGCTAAGTTGAGTCCTCTTTGCTGATGAATCTGTTTTTAAGGAATAGGGGGAAGTATTGTAGAATAGCAACCCAGAGGTACACTTGGAGGCAAAAATGGATATGGTAATGGGCTCTTTTGTTCCAAAAGAGGAAATCTGATCTTCTCTTTGTTGAAGACACCCAGCCCCCCTTTCTTTAATTCATGTTGGACCCTTCAGACTGACTTTTCTTGGACTGTGAAAATCTGTCAATTGGTACTGCCTCTCCATAAAGAAATAAGCCTGGGTACATCTGGCCTGATGGTGTGTTCCTAGTAAGCTGTGTCCTGGGTGTCTGAGAGTGTGGAGCCAAATGGAGGAGGAGATAGTTGCGGGCCATGGACAGCCTCCTAAGCTAATGAGAAGGTCAGAATACAGGCCCAGACACAGCAACCAACAAAAAAAGGACAGACCTAAGACAGTTACTGGACAGCTTAACATTATCATGTGATAGAGAAGGCTTTAGGAGGATGGGATGTCTATTTTGCATGCCGCTAGGTGGAGAGAAGTCCTGGATTAAGCATACAAAGTGGAAGCACGGAAAGTCGCATCCCAGGTGAGAACACCTCAATGTAAAGGCGCATGTTTCAGAGAGGATGCAATGTTTGTGGCAGAAGGGACAGGTTTGCCTAGCTGAAATAGAGAAACAGGATGTGGGGGTGGGAGTAGGTGTGGGGGGTGGGTCAGGGATGGGAGCACTGTAGGTTACTGAATAAGGGAGTAGGCTACCTAGATGACCTCTAACTATGATCTTGTGACTTCAGCTGACATCATCGTGAAGCCTGTGATTTACAGAAGTAGGCGGTGAGGGTAGAGGGGCAGTACAGAGGAGGGAGCAGTAAAGAAATCTCTCCCATCTTAAATTTCCTATACCTCTTTCACTTTCCCTCCATTGTACATAGGCATGTATATATTTGTGATTTTCCTTCCTATTATAGTGTAAGCTCCTCATGAGGTCTGTCTCGTCTTACGTTTCTTCTAGCACCTAGCCCAATACCTCTCATATAGTAGGTGCAGAATAACTGTTCATTGAAGGTGTGGATTAATTCAGTGAAGTTCAGCCAACACTGATTATCAACAATAGGGTGGGTCCCAAACCAAAAAGTCTCTGTACTTGGTGCTTATGTTCTGTTGGGGGTACAAAATTGAGTGAATGGGAGCAGCAGTATCAGAATGAAGCCCATTTGGGAGAGAGAACTAGTTACCTGGTGATATCTTAGCAACAAGAAGAGAAGAACCCTGTTACTTTTGAGCCCGTAGAACAGAGGTTAGATCAACAGAATATAGCGTGAGAACTGGTGTCTGCCAGATCACAGAGAATGGCTTGGACAAAGAAGCATCCTGGCAGATCGTTGTAGATATTCCTTTATTTGTAGGCCAATTGTGACACAATTAGAATTTGATGTTTTGTAGCTGTCTTTTGATTTCCAAGGCCTGAGTCCTCTCTTCAGGGGTCGTGGCTGGGTTTATTTTTTGCTTTTCTAATAGTTTTCCTCTCTCAAATTCTCTATGATCTCATTTCCTCCTCTGCAGACCTCTTCCTTTCCAGAGACAAGATGGACACAGTAATAGGGAGATATGGAAAGCACAGAGAGAAATGCCCAGATTGAGAGGAACAGAACCAGAGATAGAGATTAAGCAGAGTGTCATGTGAGAGAAACAGCATAGCAGAGAAGAAGGACATACAAGAAGTCTAAAAGAAACATGAGATCCAGAGATGCTGCCCTCCCTCGACTACCTTTCCCTGTCTCTTCACTCCATGTTCCCTAAGATGATTTTCCCCTACTAGGGAGAGCACTGCAGTGTTACCAACTATAAACTGAGAGCCTTGGTTCTCTTTCCATGGTCTTCAATGCTCTGCTTTAATTATGCCACCAACCTGCTCTCCCTCAGGCTTCTGATTCCTCTGACTTTGGTCCCTCCCTACCAAAGAAAGTGTTTTAAGATTTCCACTCTGTTGGGAAATGGCAAGTTTAGGAAGGTATTTGTGAGACTTGAAGAGCAGACAGTTTAGTCTTGGGCCAATGGGGAAATGGGGAATATGTTCCTTATCAATTTGCTTTGCTCTTGGCAAGATAGCCTTGGGTAAATCACTCATTTGTCCAACTTAAATTTCATCCCTTTCCTAGGAGCTGTTTTTAGCTATTCCTCCCCGCCCCCATTCCCAGGCCCAAGATTGAAGCTTTATCATTGTTGGTCTAGGAAGTAAAATTTATTGGGAGGAATTTAATTATTTTACCAAAATTCGGTGAGTTTCTGTTTCACACCTTTATTAAACACTTACTAGTAGGGGCAGATAGGTGGCGCAGTGGATAGAGCACCAGCCCTGAAGTCAGGAGGACCTGAGTTCAAATGTGGTCTCAGACTAAACACTTGATACTTACTAGCTCTGTGACCCTGGGCAAGTCACTTAACCCCAACTGCCTAAAAAAAAAAACCCACAGAAAAATAAACACTAGTAGAAGGCATATCCTAGACATTGGGATTACAAAGATGTACTATAGAATTCTCCCACTGTATCATTCCTTCCGAAGCTTAAAATCTCACTGGAGGAAGGGATTGAGACATACATGACTACCAACAAGTGCAGAATGACTGATTGATTAATTGCATAGGAGAGGGCAGAGAGGGAGTGGCATGAGCACAGATGGGGGGCAGGGGAAACATCACTCCTAGGGGGATCAGAGAAGCCTTCATGGAAGAGAAGGCAGAATTGGGCCTAGATGGAGAAAAGGGATTTCAGAAGGTTGGCATGGGGAAAAGGAAATCTCTTCCAAGCATAGGACTGGGCATGTGTAAATTTACGGAGGTAGGATGAGATGAGGCCAGAGTTTGTTTGAGTTTTGGTTGCTCCAGCCTAGAATTCCTGAAGAAGAATGGCACAAGATAGGTTAGACAGGTAGGTTGGAGCTAGAACATGGATGGGCCTGGGCAGGATAAGAATCATGTAGTTTATGCAATAATAATACCACCCGAGGTTTATATATGGCTCTTTCTGGTTGACAAGTCACTTTCCATCCATTATTTTATTTCAGTGTCTTATGAACAAGCTGGAGAGATGTGAGTTAGGTGATAGGAGAATTAGATGGTTCAGAAGTGGTTAAATGACAAGATACAAAGTGTAGTGATTAATGGATTTAATGGATTGATGTCACACAGCTGTGTACAGTGGAAAGAGGGCTACATTTGGAGTCAGAGGAATGGATCGATCTCAAGCAAGTCAATGAATTTCTCCCCATGTCTCAGTTTCCATATTTGTAAAATGAATGAGCAGACCTCTTAGGCTCCTCTCACCTTGCTAAGTCTGTGATCCTAAGAGGAGAACTCTTTCAACAAAAGATCTCTTGTTGGCCCTATGTTGTTGACATTTTTATCAGTGACTTGAGTGAAAGCGTGGGTGACATGTTTAACAGATTTTCAGATAATATAAAGCTAGGGGGATAGCTAACACAATGTATAGCACAAAATAACTCTACAGGCTAGAATGATGATGAGCCAAGTCTAATAAATTGAAATTCAAAAGGGATAAATGCAAATTCTACATTTTGGTTCCACAAAATCAATCCATCAATCGCAGGATGGAGGGTGGAGCACAGAACTTTTGGACTATAAGTTGAACTACAAACAATATGATTCAACAACCAAAAAAGCTTATATATTAGGTTACATCAATGCAAGTATAGTACCCAGAACAAGGGAGGTGATATTCCTACTAGACTCTTGCCTGGTTGGACTGCATCTGGAGTATTGTAGTCCAATCGGAAGGTCACATTTAAGAAAGGAATCTGGAGCAATTCCAGAGTAGGGTCATGAGGATGATGAGAGGCCTGGAAACTATGCCATAGAATTACTGGTTTCTATATTAATGGATAGATACCAACCTACAGAGAGGTTTTTCATGAATGCCCCAGAGATCTGTCATTAGTTTTGTGCTGCTCATCAAGTGACTTGAATGAAGGCATAGATAGCGTAGGTATCAAATGTACAGCTCTCGAGTTGGGAGAAGACTGGATAGCTGTGTTCAGGTATTAGAAGAGCTGTATATGGAGGAGGAATCAGGACCACGTCTACTTGTTCTGCTCCAGTGGGCAGAGCTAGGGGCTGTGGATGCAAGTGGCAAGTGATGCTGTTTTAGCTCAGTTTAATGAAAAACTGCAAACAAACAGTGCCACCCAAAAGTGGACTGCCAAAGGAGGTAGTGAGTTTCCCATCACTAGAGGTCTTCGAGCAGAAGCTACAGGATCACTTGTCATGGATGTTATATCTGGCTTGGGGGTGGATTAGGTGAGATGATTCTGAAGAAGATTCTGTAATTCTATAATGGAGAATTATATGATACGTTTTGAGCAGGGAACTGACATCATCCAACTTGCACACCAGGAAAATGGATTTGGCAGCAGCTAGATGGAACTGGGGAGGGGAGAGAGTGGAGGCAGGAGGTCACTTAAGAGGCTGTTGCAGTTTTATACAGCAGTGCAATGAAGAGGCCATAAAAGCCTGAACTATATAGTGGTAGTGAGAGCGGAAAGGAAGAGACAGATTTTAAAGAGAAAAAGGACAGGGGCTGGTTGATTATTGAGGATCAGAGAGGAGGGAGAGGGGAGAGTCACAGATGACCATGAGGTTTTGAGCCCTGGGGACTAAGAATGGTAGTGTCAGTAACAGAAACTGGAAAATTAAGGGACAGGTTTTTGAAGACAGTATGAGGATTTGAACCTGTTGAATTTGAGGTAACCCTGAGGCATGTGGAGATAGCAAACATGATACTTGGAAATAGAAGAACAAACAGATTAGATGCGACAGATGAGAAAGAATGGTGAGTCAAAGATGACACTTAGGTCTTGAGCTTGGAGGCCTGGGAGGTTGGTGGAATCTGTAACACACAGGCAAATTAAGGGAAAGGGCAAGTCAAGGTGGATAAGGACTGAGAATAACCATTTGAGGGAGGGAAGTGAAGTCAGAATAGGGATGAACTTGGGGATGTTAAGGTGTTAAGGTGATGCCAAGGAACAGTTTGGGAATTGAGGTCAGAATTCAAGATCTTGGGGGTTGTACAGATGATGTGGTCTACGTATGACCATCTCTCTGGGTGGCACAAGTAGGGTGCAGATAGAAGTCTTGAGGTGGTGAGGAACTTACTGAGAGGCCAGAGTCAGAATGGTCACCAAACAGAATACTGAGGACTCCAAGAGACTAGTAGGAGAGACTAAAAGAATGCTAAACTCATTAAGGAAGGTGGGAGAGGCAGTCCTGGAGGTCAGTCAATAGCGGTGATTAGGCTCAGAGAGTGTATTTTAATTTGTGGCATAAATTTGTTAAGTTATGGTGGCAGAACAAGGACTTGGAGGTGTCTAGCAGGTAATGTCGTTATATGTTAGAGAGCAGAAGCATTGTAGAGAAAGGATAGTAATGAGTTGTACTCAAGGGAAAAGGGTTAATGGCTTGTTTGTTAATAATAATATTTTTATGATGCTTAAGGCTTAAAAACGTACTTTCTTTGTAATTGTACTCTAGTGCTGGGAGGCTCAAGCAGTGGCAAATGAAGAGCTAGAAGATGAGGAGGAATTTGTTGACTGGTCATCTAAAAGCCAGTGGAAAGGGTCTGTGGAGGTAGAGAGGGATTGGGGAAAGGTTATGTCCAAAAGCATAACAGGGTTAACAGGGGGAAAGTGAGATTAGAGTGGATGAGAGAGGTTAGGTGAACAAATGTTTTTATAGGGCGTAAATGGGAAGGGACTTGGATGACTACAGAGGGCAGATAGAAGATGGATATATCGATTTATGCAGTCAGCACAGATTTCATAGATGAGCCTCAGGGTTCTAGGTAGGGAGTAAGTTCAGTGTCATGTACCAACCATCTTTAGAGCCAGATGACCTGGGCTCTGCTACTTCATTACTCCCTGGGTGACCCTGGACAAGTCACTTCACTTTCTGAGCTTCAGTTTCTTCACTTGCACAATGACTAGTCAAATAAGATAACTTCCTAGATCTCTTCTTAGGTGGCTTCCATCAGTTTGAGTGGAGCTGGGGTAGTGTGTCTCTTCTGAATCTCTTGGAGAAACACACATTGATATTTGGAGAAGCAAGCGTTATAGTAGAAAGAGCCTTGAAATGGGAAGATCTGATTTGTATTTTGCCTCTGACTCCTAAGAGCAGTGTGACTTACAGGCATATCACTTAATCTCTATGAGCCTCAGTTTTCTCATCTATACAATGGGGATGAAAATCATCTGTGGTGCCCACCTCAATTTGAGGATTACATGAGATAATATATATTTTGTATAGTTTTGTAAACTTTAAGCGTTATATAAAATATCAGCTATTCCTATTCCAATTCATTGAGTCCTTCACTGCTCAGACCTCAAGATTCCTCCATCAAATCTGACCATCTCTTGCAGTTGTCCTTAGGGAAGGTCGCAATGGCTGAACTATCTTCTGACCAATATATTTCCTTGTACCCTGATAAGAGAAAGAGGGAGAGACAGAGACAGAGAGACAAGAGACAGAGAGAGAGTAAGTGAGTGAGTTGGGGGGTAATTCAAAGTTTCCCCTGTCCCTGTAACAGCGCTTATTCAGAATCCTCTATTTGTTGGCTCTCCTAATCCTTTTCTAAGCCCTGGAGATTCTCTCCTTCTCTTTAGTCCACCCTCCACCATCCCACGACACCCTTGCCCTGTTCCCCCCCCACCTCTTTCTTTCTCATCCCTTTCTGTTCTAGCTGCTCTTCTGCCTCACTCACCAATAGTACCTTCCTTCTCCCTTCCTTGCCCACTAGGGGTCGCGACTTTCCTCCTCGCCCCCCCAACGTGCCGCTCTAGCTCGCCACTTTAATCTACTATCAGCCTTCGTCTCGTTGATACCGACGCTGCACATGGGGCCGCTCTAGGCTGGGAGGAGGCCATCCGTTGTGCGTGGGGGAGGTTTGGGCGCTGCCGTCGCCTCGCCGGCCCCCGGGGCGGTTAGCGCTTCCGGGGTCGGAGGGTGCGCGGGGTTGAAAGCGGGCCGCTCCGCCCCGTCCCCCTCCCAGACCAGCAGAGGCAGCAGCCGGAGCAGCCGCAGCCCGCGCCCTCTCCCGCCCGCCCGCCCTCCGCCCGCCCGCCCGCCCTCCGCCGCCCTCCACCCGCCCCGGGGTCGCTCTCCCCCCTTCCTCCTCCACCCCCCTTCCTCCTCCGCCCGCCCGTGGGTGCCCCCTCGCCTTCCCGCCCGCCCCTATTGTTCCGCCCCCGGCCTCCCGCCCTTCCCTTTCCCGCCCGCTCCCCCTTTTCCCTTCAGTCGCCTCGCGCCCGAAGGTAAGCCCCAGAACTCCCCCTCCGCCTCTGACTTTATTTCTCGTTCTCCTCCCCCCCTTACCTGTTAGAGGGCCCTAGGCCTCGTCACGAGCCCCGGCCTCGCGTAACACCGCGTGACCGCTTTCCCCCTCACCCCGCCCGCCCCGCGGCTCACGCGAGGCCCTGGTTTCGGCGCGGCCTACTAGGCCGCGCGCAAGGCCCTTTCTCACCCCCCCCCTTCTCCGGCGGCTGCGCAAGAGTCTGGGAGGGCGCGCGCGCGGCAGGTTGGGGGGGGCGCGGCGGGCGGCGGGTTTGTTGGTTGACGGGGGGGCGGGGGTGAGGCGATGGCCGGCTGGCCGAGCGGGTGAGCGCGGCTCCCCGCGGGGGGCGGCTGCTGGCGCAGCCACACGAGGAGGTGCCGCTAGTCCGGCCCCTCCCCCCGGACCGCAGCGCCCTCCCCCGTCCGAGCCGTTTATTTTTTTCTTTTCCCCCTTTTTTTGGGGGGGGAAATAGTGGTGGTGGAGGAATTTTTTAAAAGTGGGAAATGCCCGGATGAGAAGTGACGGAGTGTCAGGATCGATGGAGAAAGGGTAGACAACCCCCGCCCCCACCCCATCCCCCCCAGTTAAAAGGTTATATCGGATATTTTTTTAACTGGGTAACAAGAAAGATTAGCATCATCATTTTAGTCCTACACCGAGATATTTATGGGAGGTTGGTAGGCGCCTTTAATTGATATGCTTTAACATCCGTTCATACTTCCATTCTGAGGTGGCAAGAAAGTCGGCAGTATTGGGGTTAAAAAATGCAGCCTCCTACCTCCCCCAGGTTAATAGGGAGGGGGTAGGGTTAAAGACGCCCAAAATTGAAGCTTCAGGAAAGGAGTTCCTTAAAATCCAATTAATGGCTTAAAATTGTGTGAATTTTATTTTAGCCTTTCAAACTTTGTTGAGCATCATTTCTTGTTTCTAAAATACATCTTACAAAATTTAGACGGTGAATCTTGATGTTAGAAATTTTAAACTTTTGAAGAAAAGAAAAAACCACAAACCACTCTGCAGATGATAGATGAATACCTTTTTATTTGTCTTTCTTCACCTTTCATACGCTCCTCTGGATTCTTGGCTGTAGCTTAAAACCAGGCCCTTCTTTTACATAGTTTTCTAAAGGTTCTTGGTAGCCAAGGGGTAGTTTGCTACTTTAAAGGAGTGAGGATAAGGCAGTAATAATTTTAAAATCTTTTCAAAATTGTTTAGACCTACTTTTTTATATTAAAGCAGGATAAAGAGGTGGTAAATCTGGTACTTTCAGGAGGAGAGGACAGCTGTGGCTTTCAGGAGGTAGAGAGGTCCCTGAGGTCTGTGTCATTGAGAGATAAGGGGGTGTTGTTTGAAAAGTCATTGGGGAAATAGAAGGATGAGGGGACATCTTGTGTTAGGTTGCAGAAATGGTTGTTATAGTTTTGGAAGTAATTGCTGTGGCTAAACCAGTGCCAAGATCTCAACAATCCCCCCCTCCCCCCAAAAAAAAACCCCGAGTGTGGGGGAGAACAGTTAAGAAGAAAACATTAAACAATCTGATTATGTGAATCTCTGTTCCCAGTAACTTGGGGGAGGGGAGATCTGTGAGCATAATAGGTGGGACATACTGTATTTTTGCTTCGTAGTTGGCTCTGTTTGAGAGGTAGTGTTATGAAAGAGCACTGGAATCTTTTCTGTAAAGAGCCACAAATCCAAGGTGTGGGTCCTAATAAGACCGCTAGAATTTGGGACCCTGGTCAAGTCACTGTTCTCTCATAGCCTCAATGTAAAGTGAATATATGATGTACTGCCTTCTCAGGAACATCAAGTAGTACATATGAAAATTGATCGTCTATCAAAAGTTGATGTATTAACTGTAAGTAGGAACTCCTGTACTGGACAGAATTCGAGTCTTTTTGACATAGAATTTGCCTCTAGTAAGGAGTCTGACTTTAGGAACTGCTAATTTGAGATAGGGAAAACCTTGGGGCTTCCGGGTTTACTGAGACAGACAGTAAGATTGTAGATGGTTCGGAAAGAGACATGACTAAGGTTCATTTGAAGTTGTAGCTGAAGGGTAACCTTGTGGTCCTAAGATAGTGTTTTGTTGAAGGATAACCTGGTGCATCTTGAGCAATTCTCTATCAACGTAATGCAAAAGCCATTGCTACCATCAAATTCATTCTTTAGTTCTGTGTATGAGTAAATTCTTGGAGGTAATAACTGTCTTTTTTTTTCAAAGGGATGGTTTGTTTAATTGTAGCAGATGAAAAATAAAAGCATTAATTTGAAGAGACTGTCATCAAGGATAAAGCAGCCCAGGTGGCAAAAAAAAAGTTTTTCCTAAAGTTTTTATTATTTTAACTTAATTTACTGTTTGCCATTCCAGTTTTTGGCTTCCACTCCCACCAGTGACCAAAGACTTGACCACTTTACAAAGTCCAAATCCCCAGAACACTGCTCGACATGGACACCGGTGTGATTGAAGGTGGATTAAATGTCACTCTCACCATCCGGCTACTTATGCATGGAAAGGTATGTGCCAGCTTTTTCCTTGGTGGGAAATTGGGTCATAGTAAATGTTAGGGGAGGAGTCAGGGTGGTGGTGGGGGAGTGCCTATTTTGGAGTTCTTGAGATTAGCACTGCAGGATGCCTCGCTATAGCACTCTTGTTTACCATAGTAGAAAGAAATGGGAGGTGGTGAGGAAAAAGACAGGCATTCTTTCTGTTCAAACTCTACATTTACTAGAAAAGATTGTATACCTTTTTTTAGGCAAGATAATGAGAGGCCACTCCATAGCCCGATGACTAGGACCTGTACAGTATTGGGGAATCTCTGAATACCGTTCTTTAAGAAAAAGAAATATCACTAGAACCCCACTTGAACTGTGAAATTCTCTAAACTGAAACCACAGGTGTCATTATACCTTTGCTTGAAAACCTTTAGTATTGGGAAATCATTCTTCCCGATACATACTGATAGATAGATATCTTATGATTACACAATTATGAATGTAAATGTGCTGAATAAGGTGATGGGTAATTTAGCAAAACTACTAATTAGGCTAATTTCTGTCAGTGCTATCTAAATATTGAATCTTCCTGAGCTAGTTGAGAAACAGTTTGGTGAAGTTGGTGATGGCCTTAGAGAAGACCCGAGTTCTAGTCCTGTGGTGGTCATAATAATGGGCTGTGTTAACCCTGAATGCCAAGTCATATAAATTCTCAGTGCAGGTCATTGGCTAACATTGGTAGGGAGCTTCTTCACCAAGAATTACTATAAAAATGAACTCACAGGACTATTGCTTTCCACTCAAAATGTGATAAATTTGTTGAATTAAATTTACTGAACAAATATGATAAAAAGACCTGAAAAGGGTCAAAATTTTAAAAAAGGCAGTATAGTTATAGAATTAGAGTTAAAAGGGGGATATGAGAGAGTCTTCTAGACTAAGTTGTCAAATCGTCTCTCACCTCCTTTTTCCTCCCCTCCCATAATCATTTCTGCCTTTTGAGAAGGAATTCACTGTTCCTAAAGGTACCCAGTTCTGCTTTGGGGTGTCTGTAACTTCCCATTGAATCCAGTGTTGCCTAGTATCTTCAGGATAATGCTACTGTTTGGCTTTGTGGTAACTGAGATCCAAAGAGCAGTGGATTAGTTGGGCAGAAGAATGACTATTTCCATTTTACTAGATTCTTTAGTGTTTCTCTTTATTGATAATTATTTTCCTAATTGCAGGAAGTTGGAAGCATTATTGGAAAGGTAAGACAGGTTTACTTCATCTTATTTACTGTTTGGCCAATTGGAGTTGTGAAGCAATTGGAGTTTACTCTTGTCTTTTCCTTGGGTTGCAGAAAGGAGAATCGGTGAAGAAGATGCGTGAAGAGGTAAGTTTCTTAGGTATGGGTGTTGGAAAAGTAGGTAAAGACCTACTAGGAATCAAAATGGTATAGGTGGGAGGAGGGTCCCAATAGGACATATTAGAAACTGGTATTACTAGCTTGTTTACTTGAGCTTGTTCTGGCAGCAAATGAAAGTTCTGATGTGATAGAAAGGAATGCTGGGAAATGTAGTTCTGGCCAATCTCAGCCTAGATCTAGCACCTAAGATGGCTGCTGTAGTCTAGAGAAGGAGAGCTAAGCACAGAATAGGTTTGAGAATAATGATGGCTTTGCTTGTTCCCAGAGTCAAATGTTTATCCCTTCACACTTAAATCTCATTTGGGGATTGGGGGGTTGGGACGGTGTTAGGTATTTTGTGTACTTGATTTCCTTCATTTACCTTTTCATCTCTTATGTTTACTTTTTTTCCCTAGAGTGGTGCTCGTATCAACATCTCAGAAGGGAATTGTCCTGAGAGAATAATTACTTTGGCTGGACCCACCAATGCCATCTTTAAAGCTTTTGCTATGATCATTGACAAACTGGAAGAGGTTGGTCTGTTACTCTGCACCAAGGGCCTTTCATTGTTAAATTTTTTTCTAGGAGAAAAAGAAAATACACATTTGTGTCACCGTGGTGTTTAGAGATCCGAACAGGATCTTTTAGTGTCTTAGATTTTTAGGCTTTCATCATCCTGTAAATCCGGATGTAAAGATCCTTCCTTCCTAACACATATCCACCCAGCCCCTTCCCCCTCCAGTGAAATATACCAAAACACCTTTGTGGTCTAAAATTAAATTTAAATGCTGTTGTGGCCATCACGCTAAAAATAAACTCTTCTAGCTCTCTCCATATTGGAAGCCAAACAGTGCTTCATGTTCATAAAGCATAACTCCAGCAATCCTGTAAGTAATCTCTTGAGCTTTCTGGCTTTATGTAAAAGTAAAAACTTGTAAAATAAGGGAGATAATAAGATCTTAGTTTTATAGCTAGATGGGACTTTACTGAACATTGAGTCCAACACACTCAATTTAGAGACAAGGAAACCAAGACTCAGAACTTAATGACTTACCTAGGGTTACACATCTTTAAAAGTGTTTGAGGCAAGATTTGAATCCACGTTTTCCTCACTGTCCAATGCCCGATGTGTCATGGTTTACCATTAGTACATTAAATTTTTCTTACTGTGTAAAGAAGAAGTATTAGAAGTATGTATCAGCTGCCCTGTCCTCAGTCTCCTCACCCTCCTGTACTGCAACCAATTGTGCAGTTGATAGCACAGGCAAAGGTTTCATCTGGCTGCTGCTTTGGCTTGTGGTCAGTGCTTAATGGTACCTGAAACCTTATCTTTTTCAGGGTCAGAAACTATTCCTTTAAATCAGCAGGAATCCTGCTAAACCTTAAGTGTTGTGTGCATTCTCCCCCTCCCCCCTCCCTTTTTTTTAAAAGGTCAAAATGTGTTTTCCTCTTTTTAGCAAGCATGAGACCTCTTAACTTTCACTGCCTGATTTCCTGCTGCTTCCTGGATCAGGTTCATTGATTCCTAGGGACGCATTATTATCCAAAGATGGAACTTGGGTCTGCTCTCAGTGACTTGGAATTAATTCTGGTACAGACCATGTAATTTGAAAAGTCTAAATGAATTGCTTGGTAGGAAGTCTTGTATTCCTAATCTGATAGTCTAA